ATTATGAATAAAAATAACTATGCTGTTTAAACAGCGGAGAAGGTGAGTTATAACAAATCATATCGATACTAATATTATAGCAAAGATGTAGGCAGGCAACGAGCCAAACGATGCAAAAATCGTCTTCGCGTAATCTGACGAACTAGAAGCCAAGGAAGTCATGACGATGTTGGTTTCCTTTCCATTATGATGATCGATGGATTTGTGCGACCAGCTCGACGATAATGAAAATCTTGGAAAAACTCCGTCATTAAAGAACGTCATCAAAAAAGTATAATTGTTTTAGAAATGCAAACTCTGTTCGACTGAGGGAGAAGCTCAATCATGGCAGTGAATTGGTGAATGGTGGTCTTGTGAATGTGAATTAAGAAAATCCTAATTAAAATGTAAATTCGTGCTATTCAGAAGTCTTTACTTTGTCATATAGTGCACGCCAAAAAACATGCGCTGGCTATAAAGTCCTAAATTATACATGACAGCGGGACCTAATATATTTGGCAGGATACTTTATATATAGAAAAAACACCCGATTGCTTCAAAAATACTCGAGTAAAGCTGTTAACAAAACAGCGGAATCACTCCTTCTATATAATCATATTGTGGAGTCTATGTTTCAGTTATCAACAGCATATTTGTTGCCCGAGATATGGAAAACTCGTTTCCGGCATTAAAATCAGTGACAAAACTAAGCACTACCTCACGTTGAAATATGAATACAGCTCTCGTGAAATACAACACTCATTCACAATGAATATAAATAAATGTGTCAAAGTTGAATATGAGAAATACAAATTTTTATTTGCTAGAAAATATAAGCCTGATGATTTTAACTCAGCTACGTGCATCTTTTAATACAGGTGAAAATTTGTTAATTTTCCAAGGAAAACTAAAACCATAAGCAAAATGAATAAATCCAATTATTCAGTAAACGCATATTCAGTCAATGACTATTTTATTATTTCATTATTCATTTAATGATTTCTCATTAAATTTCAGTTCCCTCTCTGCATAGACGCGACAGAACCTGCGCATTCCATGAGATAACCGACCCGACATGACGATTGCAAGATATTCAAAATTCCTCTTTAACAATCACCAGCATTTATGACTTATGTTCTACCGCCCAGGCACGACAAATGAAGTACCATATTTTTTCATCATTTTGGCAAGAAAATAATGAGCAAAATATTCCGATTCTTCTCTAACTCTCGCATGTTGTACAAAATTGAATGAATTGTTTTTTTATTCCCGCGATAGATTTTCTGTCAGTTTACACTGTTTGGAATAGAAACAGTCAAGCATTATTTACGCAGCATTATGAAGCAATATTAAATGTTATAGATTTTGTTAAACGTTTTGGATTTGTATTCTGTCTCGTTAGCTGAGAATTTACGGAAGGCAGAATGCGGAAAGTGTACATTGAGGGTTCACATTATCAAGATTATATATTCTAGCAAAAACTTATCAAGTTTCCGATGCTCTAGCTCTCTATGGCTAAAAGCCATATGATAAAGCCAGATGCTTAATTAAAATCTATTTATGATAATTAATTTATGCCCGGTCCAAACTGTGTCCTAAGCAAAGAATGGACATGCCAGGAAAACTAAGGTATTCATCAGTACCTTAGGTTGAAAAATGTCTTTCTTCTATCACCGCAATTTTTCATGAATAGTGTTTCTGTCACACCTTGAGCTTAACCTAAAATTAGAGAGCGTTATTTATCGAACACCTGCTCCTATTTGTCCTTTGCTCGTAGCATTCCATGCATGCTTTATGATTCACTCACTATCGGTGCTCCCTTTCCATCAGAATTAATTACATATTAATACATTACATCAGAATTAATTACATATTACGCTACTCAAAATGCATGCATCGTTACAAAAAAATACGAGTATCGTAAATTTCTTTTCAAATATAATGGCCTCCTTCGTTAGCGCAAAATTATTTTGTACTTTCTTCATCTGAGAGAATTTTAAGCAAATAAAATTGTTATCGTTTGTCTGAACTCATGATGAAGAAACTCGGCTTGCAAAATCCATCTTACGCTATCCACGCGCAACTGACACTAGCTGCTTGTGAAGACCAGCGTAATTAAAAGATTTGGAATTAAATTCATGACTATTTAATGAGTATAACTATTGTTTTCTTGAGATGTAGTAGTAAATTATTACCGTTCCAGCTCAAAAAATATTCCGAGATCTTCATCGACAGAGAAAGTAAATGTCTCTAAATCAATTAATGATTGCAATTAACTAAACGATTTATTAAAGTCCCTCACACATGCCTAAAGTGAAGTGAAACATCCCCAGTGAGCATCAGCCGACAGAGATCGTTCTTACATACGTTGAATTTTTGATCACTCTGTGCATCTTCAGTTCTTTGATCGGTGGAAAGATTAAACAAATTTAATCGACTTTTATTCAGATCTTCCATTAAAATCTGTCATCTGTACCGAATTTTAATCTTTTGCAAAGTATTCCCCTTCTGCAATTTGAATTATCAACTTTACGCAGAAAGTTTAAATGGCACCATTCATAACATTGATATTCACTCTACTCAGAATCGAGAACACGTGGAAAGTAGCAGTAAAAGTTTAAATTTGAAGCAAAGTTCTAAAGTTATGAGCTTAATACCCCCGATACAATTGCAGGGGAATATACAAAAACTAATACTGAGTAATTTGAAAATTTATTTGGAAGAATAAATTCATTCACGCTTCGTCATCTAGAAATGATGAATGATAATTCAAGAGTAATTGTTGGACCATACATTGATTTATCCACTTAATTAAGCAGTCGTCGGATATAACAAAATATGTGATATAAAGGGAATTCAGACATACAAGCAAACCAAATTATTATAAAACCGTTTTATCGCTCAAAATTATTCCTTGTACAACTGGCATTTTCTATTCCCTGAATTGGATAGTGGAATTGAAAATGTCTATTTCTGTAAGTTAAAGATACTATACAATTATTGTCAGTAACTCAGTGCATTCAAATAAATTGCTCTTCTTAAATTATGTGTTCGATAGAAGCCTGGAATAAGTCAGCCTCGTGAGACTGACTAATTATACTGTACACCACATAATTCTTACATTAACACTCATGAAGCAAATTTCCTGGATTCATGAAATTACGTTACTTATTGAAGAAAAATATTTGGTCGCCCTTTTTTTCAATTTGTTGGGTTAAGTTTTCTTAAAGCTTCACTCTGAAGTAAGAGGCTCTCAAGGTTCTGACGCGAGGCTGTTTTTAAGGGAGCGTCACTTTACGAGGGTCCTATAAGCTCCCGTAAAAATAAATAAAGGGTTTTCGCGATTTTTGTCGTATAGAGCAATAGAAGAGACGCGGCTGTTCTTTATGACCTGCGTCTGGGGGTGCTGGTGATGAATTCAAGTCATGGTTAATTCGCTTACCCATTATTATTGCATGTTTACACTGCACTATTCATGAGTACGTCGTCTTATGTTGAATGCCTTTACATACGCAGGCGCTGCAGTGCTGTGTGTACAAATGAAGAATAATCGTAGTATTGATGAATGATGATTCAATACGGAACTTTTTCCATTTATATTGTTGCTCGTGTGATAGACAATATTATTTATTGATTTGAACAGCTTGGGTGAAATAAGTTTACAATAAATTTTCGAACTTCATATTTTGTTTTGGATAGAAAGTTTTGATAGCTATCTGAGCTTCCGGCGTTAAAATCAAAGCCCGTAAATGATGCCAAGTTATATTTGATGCCACAAACACATAAAAAATTACTAAACTAATTCAACACTGTGATGCAATAATTAAATTATTAAACATCATTTGCACCTAAAAGAATTGTGTCATCACCGACGTCGGAGGCTGTCATCCCATATCTCGACGTTTTTCTGAAATATTTTGAAAAGACTTATTGACCGCTAATATCCTCGCCGGGCTTATTAATCTTTTTCAGCCATTCAGGCTCTGACGTTCGCCAAGATAAAAAAGGAACGGCATAAATAAAAAAAAAAGCCACGAGAATTTCCAATTCTGACTCGACCGTCTAAAAATTCTACGTATATCAATGAACTATAGGCATATGTTGGGAAATTCATGAGGGTAATTAACAGATATATAAAATAATTAAGAATTTTTTATTATTATCCCATTCATATACAGTGATTTTTCAGTGATAATGATATTTTATATCTTCTTGAGAATTTTCTATGATTCACTTTATATATTGAAGTAAAGTCAGTTGCTTTGAACAGCACTATTTTGCATCTAAAATTTCTTGTGTATATGTTCATTTCATTACGTTGATTGCATTATTCATTATTTATATTCCATTAAAAATTGCATTATATGAAATCATAATATTTGAAAATTAAAGAAATTAAAATCGTTAATATTAAGCTCGAAATGCGATTCCACGTATTCATGAGTTCAAAACATGCAATCCATTCTATTCGTTGTCTGACATCTCCCCAAAAAACTTTCATCACAGTTACAGAAATTTCACAGCTGGCGTGTACATACGAGGCTCTTGATTCGCTTACGGTACCTCACGAATCCCCCGAGCTGGCAATTTATCACTCCCGTAAGACCACCGAACAAGCTTTCAAACTTTTGCCTCATGCATTATGGAGAACTACGAGGAGACAGCCAACAAAAATTGCCATCTCCTGGTCAGAACTGAGGCTCACGTCCACGCTGAAATGAAGAAACAAGAACCTTTCCGGTCAAAGTTGGTTCTTATTCATTTGTGGTTTTTCCAAAAATAGTTCGATCATGTTGGCCAAAGTTCTGTAATTATCACGATATTTACTCGAAGTTCTTGAGTTATCAAAGTAATCGGCTCTTCAAGTGAGTGGTAAAATGGCTTATTTATTTTTTATCACCACAGATTTACTTGATTATTTTGATTGCTCTTTGTTTGCAAAAATGGTTTTAGTCAGCCAATAACATCCGCCTAATTTAAACCGAAGCATAGTGGATAAAAAGTCCAAACACAGTACCACAAATGTTTTTGATCGTTTATTGGATCTTAATTATAAAATAATTGAAACACATTGAATGATTTAAAATAAGCGCACGTAACGATCAACGCGCGGATTTAAAATCTTAATAAAACTTGGTAATACGATTTGGCAACTTTATTTGAGCAAATGTGTAATCCGTCTGTATCTGTCTTTTACTTGACGTTTAATGAAATTTATTAGCTTTCATCTATGAATTGAATTGAATGAATGATAATTTTTATTTTTTTATTCAGCTCTGCATACGTACATCTTTCACTGACAATAAAATAGACGATGCACAAACAAAAAATGTAAGGGTACAAAAAAGTCACAGTTCACCCACATTCTATGACTGTAATGGATTCATACATGATAATTAAATAATCAATTATTCTTATTCAGTATTCAGCACCAAGATGTTGCTGTCAGTCCTCTGCTGCTGCATCAACATATGCATAATAAATAACATCTTCTACAACGCACTTCGATTCGCGTCATTAGATATGAAACCAAGCAGCCAATAAGCACGTGTTTATATGAAAACGAATACAAGGAATTGAGTCTTGGATATTTAGACGGCTCCAATTAGCTCCTTTTTCTTTGCGAAGAGGTCCTTCATGCTGGTGAAGACCTTCTCGAGCTCCTCGATGTTGGGTTCATCTTGTTTGGGGACTTCGGACATCTTTGTGGCCAAGTCTTCTGTGGTGGACTTCAGCTCCTGCCAAGTCTTGACCAAAGTCTCAATCTGTATAAGATAATCGGTGCGTTATCGGTTTAATAAATTTCAGTTTGACATACATATCATTTACTAAGAACCTAAACGAGCCACAAAAATCGTCAAATCATGTCTTCAGGTGAACCTACTCTGTTAGATGAATGCACTTTAAATTTTAACCGTCGCCGAACGTCTAATGATTTATAAATTTCAACGAAAATATTACTATAATTGTTATATAATTTGGTATCAAACGCGAAAAAACTGTTAACTTACGCATGTGAGAGTGAAAGTGTGTGATACTTCTCAAAACCAATATTATATTATCATAACACCAAAGCAGATCGAAATTTTTATTTCCTGTGTTCATTTTCCCCTTTAATTTTTTTGCGGTAATGTTCCTCATCCTCACCTTGCCAATGCGCTCCTCGGAAACCTTCTTGACGCCTTCCCAGCGCGGCGTGAGCTTCTCAACCATGTTCTCGGTGTTGCTGGGCTTCTCCATGGAGGCTCGCGCCTTCGCTGCATCTTCCAGCTTCGACTTGTTCTCTAGGCAGACTCCATCGAAAGCCTGATGAAAAAAATGTGTTACAGCCGTTATAGTATTGAAATATTTATACATGTGTGATGTTACAGTCTTTTATCAGGAAAAAATTCTGCACGTTGATGAGTTCAACTAAATGGAAATCCTATATTGAATTGTAAAAAGTTGTTTCAGTGTGAGGTTGGAAGGATGTCCCATATCTGCCTGTATCCATTATATATTTTAGAAAGATATTCTAATCAATGATTTTGTTAATGTTGCCTCGTAATCTAGGTATGGTTGATTGACTAGCTCAAGAAACGACTTTTCTCACAACACAAGCTCCTACTTATTTTTCTTCATAATATTTGCCTCCGTTTTCGATGTAGTATAAAAGACTGCATGGACAGAAGCCCTTACCTGGAGGTTCTCAAGGAGAGCCAAGGCGTCCTCAAGGGTCTGTGGCTTGGTCAGCGGCTCCTTAGACTTAGCCTCGGCATCGTCAACCCAAGGACCGGCCTCCTTGACGATGCAGTAGTAATCGGCGTAGAGACGATCGTCCTGACCACGAATATATATTTATTTAATATTACTCGAAAAAAAATCACTTTTGGCACAAATAGTTGAAATATTTCTAAGCCTCTAAAGCTGTAGGAGAAAATGGATTGAAATGAAATTGGTCCATTATCTGAGAGTCCTGCCTAGCACCGAATATTCGACCTTAATGGTCTTCAAGGCGGTTTTTTAATGCAATTGACAATCGTCTGTAATGCTTCACTTCGTCTTTTTAAGAAACAAAAGTTTCCATTTAGACGCACCGTGGCATTTTTCAGTTCAAACGCAATAGGAATGTATTCGCTCATTTATTATAATTTCCTTTTCATTTGAATTAACTTGTTTAGAACCGGATTCCATTTTCCGCTGTTCATTGGAAAATATGGACGCATATATCATGACGAATTCATGTTGTCATTTGTAAGCTATCTTATAGTCGAAGTGACCAATATCTCATTAGAACAAGTAACGATATTGTTAGTATATCGGGGTCAGCATGAGTAATCGTAGCTAAATGTTACATGAAACTATATTAAATATTATATAATTATAAAATTATATTATATTATGAAATTATATTATATTATTACGGATGATAGTCACCTACCACTGATATCGAGGTGGCTTCCTTCTCAATATCATCACAGACTTCCTCGACGAACTTCTTGGTCTCCTCGAAGTCCGCCAGCGTAGTCTTGGCAGTCTCGGACTTCTCGAGGTCTTCATCTATTGAATGTATAATTAATATTTAAGATCTAAATATAATTTAATTTATGACAGGTAATTTCTCTTTTACTACCTTTTATACTACAAACAAGTTCCATGCAGCGTGTTGAATGTACCAGATATCAGGGTAATATTTCCAAAATTCAGTTATAAAATTTCAATAAATAAGGAATGGAAAGATATTTAGTCCTATTAAGCGTCACTACAAGAATATAAGGCAACTGAATTGACATCAAGTCGGAACTATGACACAAAAAAATGCACATGAAATTTAGCATAACTCATAAACAAATATTGTTCTATTGAACTGCAACCACAAAAAAATAGGTAAAAATACTTTCTTAAATAATATAATAGAATAAAATTTAAACCTGCACTTAATTCCATTAATCGTAAATCAATGTAAATGAAATGGAGAATGGCAGAAACGAAATACGTTTTAATAAATTATCATAATTAAAATTAAGGAACCTGCCAGGCAATAAACAGTAGCTCGGAAACCATCATAAATGCGAAAGCAACCTCATTTATTGAAAATGAAACGCATTATAGTAACGGAGTAATTGTGTCGAACGAATGGTAAACGGAAACTATGATGCACGATATGCGAAAAATCGTCTTAATCGAAACATTAACGGAAAAAAACTGCAGTCGTCCGGAAGTAAAGGCATAAAAATCAGAGAGAAAACTCATAATAGTCTTGAACGCAAAACTAACGAAGAAAACGATCTTCATTTCAATAAAAACGTATATAGATTAGGGAATAATTCTTACGATCAAAAGAAAATACGGTAGAAAAAACTGCAGTGGCTCATTTGGTTATTATAAACAGAAAATTTTCGTTTTTTAAATCAGAAAAGAAGCTAAATTAATCCACACCGAAAACTGAGTTTTTCTTTTGCAAATTTAAACGTATGGAGCTCAACCTCATGGCGTCTACGATGGAATATCGCACTTGCGGTATCAATAACCACTCCGGATTTTCGTGGTTCTTTCTTCTTTATTTTCTGAAAAAAAGAAATATATTTTTTCTTTAGTACTTTTGTTTCTGAGATACAAAATCAAAACTACTAATGAAGTAAGTACTAATGCATATATCAATGAAAGCGCTATTGTGGTTGATCTTAATTGACTGCAAATGAAATAGTTTCGAACTTGAAGGAATTAAAAGTTTACAAGTTAATAATATACTTGAATTTATAACTATCTGCCCGTGAACGTGCGTCACACCTTGCAAGTAAATTGACGTTTTATCGGCTTACATCAGCTCAGCTACCGTACTGCGGCTTAACTGCCGTGCAATCATGAAATATTCAAAACAAACTGTACATCACCGAATCATATATTGAGAACGACGAAATACTATTTAATTTGTACGGAATGCATTCCTGTTAGTGTGGAAATCATTCCGATTAATATTACAATCTTTCATTTCGATTAATATTCAAATTTTTTCAAATTCCTACTACGAATCATTAGAATCAAATCGGATATCTGCGTCTTCGATTCCAGCTATGATGTTCCTAAAAATAATTCAGGTATTTTCACATGCAGCCGAGATTCCACCAAGTGTCACCTGTGAGCAGAGCCTTGTAATCAGCAGTGAGGGGTTCCAGCAGAGGCCTCTTCTGGTTAGCTTCTTCCTGAAGGATGAGGATCTCCTTAACACGGTCCTCGGGGGTGAGCGTGTCGCTCGTGCAGATCTCCTTCAGCTTGGAGTTGGAAGGCGATGCCCACTCTTGCAGGGCCCTAGTTCTGTTGACGGCGTCGGTGAGCCTGTCGTTGTAACTGGACATGCTGAGCAACTTCTTCTCGCACTTCTCGATGATCTGCATCTTCTCTTCGACCTCAGCCACCTGCACAATGCAATCATAATAGCAGTGTTGAAATAATTGGACATTAATTCTGAAGATTATAATAATAAATAACGATCGGAAAGCATGCAATAGCATCACTTGTTCTGCCTGTTAAAAATATGAGACTTACTTCTCTATCAAGGAACTCCTTCTTCTCATCACCAGCCAGGACGATGATGGTGTTGTAGCATTTCTTGATTGTCTGGTACATTTCATCGCACTGCTTCTTGCATTCCTCCCAGACCTGTTTCTTAGATGCGAGCTTCTTAGCGAACATGACGGGATCGTAGAACTTACGATAGTTCTTGTAGTCTTTCTCGAGCTTTTCGATGGGCTCGTTGATGGCATTTCGCATCTCATCGTAGGTCTCCCAGTCCTTGGCAGAGTCTGCAAATGTCGACATTTCTCATGCAGTCATGATGCATCGCTATTTGTTTTCTCTTTTCGTAACTTTCAAATATCTGTTTAGTTTATATGTTACTGATGCCAATTGTTTTGAAAGTTCAAAGACAAAATAAGCATTATAGTTACAGACTTCTATTATAGGAACCGATATTCAATACAATGACATACATGCAATTTTACATTATCTAATCAATGGACAAACTATCTTATACACAGAAACAAAACAAGCCTTATAGTTATTTGAAAAGCGAATATGGAGACTAACATCAATGATTGAAACCGACATTCAATACAATATACCACTGGGGACATTAATACAATTTCACATTATCTTATCAATGGACATACTACTTGATACACATGAATGCATTTACTGGTAAGCATTTCGAGGCGAGCCTTTGACTTCTCGTTGGCCTCCGCCCATGTTTGCTCGAGCTTCTCGAGGAGGCCGAAGAGGAACGGCGCGACGTTCTCGCCCTTGACGAGCTTCTGGCCGCGCTTGAGCAACTCTTCGTACTGCTCACGGCTGCTCTCCACAGTGTTGATTACCTGCGGTGTTCATCACATAAAAATAAATTGTGATGGAAATATTTTCTCCGTCGTTTGACTTCGGCTAATGTTATATGCAAAGTTTGAACTTCAGTTATGGTGATATGTTATGAAAAATTAGATATTGATTTTTAGAATGAAGGTAGAGACACCTTTTCGCAGACGTCTTTGTTTCACTACATGATATGTTTAAATTTTTAAAGACGTTTATGCAGAAATGTTGTGATTTTAAAAGAAAGTAAACGATTAATTCTTAAATGAAATTATAAACATTTATACAGGAATAAAGTGATTTTCAAAGAATGAAAACGTATTATAAAGAGACATAAATTATAGCAATGTGCTCCATGCTATTCTCTTTCTTCAAAATTTCTGTATTTACCAAGGCTGATTGTAATAAAGTCGTTGAACTCACCTTCTCAGCTTTCTCGATCTGCTCCTCGACCATGTTCATGTTGTGGGGGTGGATTTCCTTGCTGGAAAGATGACGCATTTCCTCCAGGGTCTTCATGGTAGGCTTGATGTCGTCACCGTAGGCGTAGCAGCGAGCGTACATCTCTACCTGTGAGCCGGGCACATTATTTAATGTTGTCAACATATGCGTAGCAGCGAGCGTACATCTCTACCTGTGAGCCGGGCACATTATTCAATGTGGTCAACATATGCGTAGCAGCGAGCGTACATCTCTACCTGTGAGCCGGGGCAATTATTTAATGTTGTCAACATATGCGTAGCAGCGGGCGTACATCTCTACCTGTGAGCCGGGGCAATTATTTAATGTTGTCAACATATGCGTTATAGCAACGAGCGTGCATCGCTTCCTTTGAGCCGGGGCACATTATTCACCATCTCTACATGTCGCCCTGGCATACTAGCACATTTCGTCGTCATTTATTTATGCTGAAAATTTTTAATACAATATTCTGAGGTATGGTATGTAGTGGTGGTAAGGTTTTATTAATTATTAGTAATGACGAATGCTGGAGCGTTAAGTCACTTCACAGTCATGAACAAAAACAAAGAATGTTATGGTATACCTTCATGGTTTTGAACCATAAACATTTTTTTTACGCAAATTCCCTATATGATATCCAGTTGTTCAACATACTTGTGTCCGTTACTACAATTTTAAAAGTAAATAAAAATAAATGGTTCCAAAATAGGTTTATAAGTTCACAGCTTGGTTGTTAACAATGATACTTTATTCTCGAATAACCATTTCACCAGTATACCATAAGATAACAGTGGTCACGAGCCTTCGGTTATCGCCTCTGTGATGAAAGACGATCACGAATTTAATGATATTTGCGAACACGTCTTGAAACAACTGAAGGATAATTACCTGGATCCAGCACTCGTTAGGCGTGCAGTAAATCATCTTGAACAACTTATACACGTTGTACAATGTACTGGTACCTGACAACAACAAAAGGCAGCCTACTTACGTGTACATTGCCTCACTGTAAACAACACCCGAAATGATCCAGAAGTGTGCGAACGACTGATGCTAAACATCTAATTAAATTGTTTCGGTTATTATTGATCCTCACTTATTTTAGTTGCGGTACGCTCACTATAGTGATCGAATATGACTCATTCCTTAGATATGAATGCGAATAACATACCAAAATTTTAGCTTTGTTTAGATAACTTTGATTCAATTAAAAGTGCATCTTTGAATGATTTTGTTCGTCTGAGTGTTAGAAGAAACTGATCACCACTTACGAATGCAAACAATCCAGGCTCTGAAATATTTAGCTACTGAAACAGTGTCAGTGACAACACGTTGGAGACCTTCATAATTTAGGTAAATTATCACCATTGATGAATTTTCCTAATGATGGTCTAGGAATTTTCCTAATAATGGCGGTTGATGGAGTTTTCCTAATATGATGCGTGGATTAGTAGGTTATCAAAGTCTAGTCAAATGTATATTTCCGATTATCATATCTAGCATCGACCCATTGATGTGAGAAACACCTTAAAAGGAACGATGTCCAAAATGCACAGCGATGGCTCAATTTGAAAAATTTATCAAAAAGCTCGATCTAGGAAATGCGTTTCAATGGCTCGATGTAGGAAATGGCAGTGTACAAAGGCTCGATGTAAGACATTCATTAAGAAACTCGACGTAAGAAATTCGTTACAGAAGCGCGATGTAAGAAATGCATTAAGAAGGCTCTATGAAAGAAATGCATTACGGAGGCTCGATGCAAGAAATGCATTACGGAGGCTCGATGTAAGAAATGCATTACGGAGGCTCGATGCAAGAAATGCATTACGGAGGCTCGATGCAAGAAATGCATTACGAAGGCTCGATGTAAGAAATGCATTACGAAGGCTCTTTACAAGAAATGCATTACGAAGGCTTGATGCAAGAAATGCATTACGAAGGCTCGATGCAAGAAATGCATTACGAAGGCTCGATGTAAGAAATTCTCAATAAAAGAGGCTCGATGTATGAAATGATTTTCAATGACTGGATGTAGGAAATGCATCAAAAAATTCTATGTGAGAGATGAATTAAAAAGCTTGATGTAGGAACCGCATTAGAAAGCTCGATGTAGGAAATGCACAGCAGATGCTTCATGCAAAGAATGCATTACGATAGCTAGATGTACGTAACGCATTACGAAGGCTCGATGTAAAAATGCCTAGAAAAATCTGGACGCAAGAAATTCACCACAAATGCCTGAACGTTTATGAGCAATGAACCTCTCGATAACTTGCCTCACCTTGGCTTGAGTCTCGATTGTAGGCGGCATGAGCTTGTCGTGACGCTCGATGAGAGCCTGGAGCTTCTTCTTCTCAGCATTTCTGAGCTCCTTGTCTCTCGACGACGGACCTCCCTCATCCGATGCTCTGATGGCGACCTTCTCGAGCATCAGGTCCAGCCACTCCTTCATGCCTTCCTTCTCCAGATCGCGGCATAGTGACTGCAAACAATGACAGAATAATATTATTAAATCAATTAGTTCATCTGTTCTTGTCCTCCAAGTACGGTATTGGTAATAATATCTAGGTACATTTCACTTGATGGTTATATTGATTGGACATATTGTTATCTTATTTTGGCTATGGGGACACCATAATCCAACACAATAAGTTCGATCGATTTACCAAAATTATTTCCTCCCTTCCAGAACATGTGGTTGTGAAAATATTGCGTCTGTTATTCAAGGTTTATAGTTTTCCGCTAAGCCGCAGGAAAAAAGTTGCAAGCAATTAACCCAAATTCAAGAAGTACTAAATAGAAAATAAAAATTGTTATAATAAGAAAAATCAGATACCAAAATTTTCGAACAAAATTAATATGGAATAAATTAATGATTTTACAATTTGAAAAATTATTCTGGATTAAATTTTCACATTGTTTACTTCCTTTGGAACGGTTTATTTGTGGGCGAATGATGCTTCACTTATTCGAACAAATTAAATAAAACCTTTTCAATTTTGATTTTAAAGTCTCATAAATGCCAGCAAAACAATATTGCAAGGAAAATAAACAAAAATTTCTATAGCTTATTGCGATCTATTTTGAAATACAGCAACTGAAAGTCCGGCAACCTCAAAAACATTTTCCCTACGGTCATTGAATCTAAAGGATCATAGGAAGAGAGTTTATTAGGTTAAAATATTTTAATGCGACATTGTAATAAATATAGTTAAAGAATTGTTCAATTTAATTCACTGCTACAAAAATGTCGAGTGAACTTTATAAACATATCCGCATCGCACGTGAAAATGTGCCTGTTTGCCCACGATAAGGATCGATTGGGGAGGATGACACCAGCAGCATTTAATAAATTAATTGTGTGACTTGATTATAAACAAGTAATCATTAAAGCTGGTCGCATTAATGAACAAACGCCTCATTATTTTCTCGGCTACAGAAAAATAAAACGCGAAGCCTTCACAGCGTTGGCACGGTTAAATTTGGCGCAATGCCGGCATGCCGCAAGACAGTCGCCAAAATCACGAAACATTTATTACGTTAGGGAAAATACGAAGGGGCTTACGATGTAGCGAAATATCAGGGGGAATAAATTCGAAATTTTGTTCGTGGTAGAAATTTTTATAACATTTCACGTACGTTTTCTAGCGCATATTTCAAAAACTCGTCGCTTGACATTACGCACTATTAAAATGCATTACTAAAAAAACCCATTCGTGAAGCAATAAAATAAATTTTTGAATAAAACAAGGTCTTAGGGTTCTACTTCAAATTTCAGAGAAATAAAAACAAATAAAAACAAGCCGTTTCAAAACATTTTGTTATTGCTCTAATTTAAATTAATGTCTTTTTGGTCGTTATAGAGATGCTTGAGCATATCACATGAAAATATTTCTTAAATTTTTTCTCTTCTGCCTTTTTACCCTTTTCTCTCTTATGTTGGATTTGTGAAGTTCTATTATTGCTGAATAAATTCATATATTTCACAATGCTCAATGCAGCTAAAAGCGAAATCTGGCGCTAGATTACGGGCGTATGAAAAATCGAACTTTACGTTACATTGTCGTGCAGCGTGAACTTTAATTCAGGAGCAATATTATTGATGTTCTTCAAAACTTAGCCGAGTGGGATCTACCGTAAGTATTATGGAAACCGATGCACACGGTAATCGCATTTGCAACTATCATTGGGATTGTTCTTATAGTTCATGTCTACGAAGATTTATTGAAAAATTGCGAAATCCTTTTAAACGCATCATAACAAGTCTGAATAAAACTATTGAAAAGTGCAAATTTTACATTTGTCCTAATACAGCTTACTCCTCATTTTCTATAATCATCAGCTAATTATCATTTCCGCCTTGATTAAAAAATTAGATGCACAAATAAATTATTACTTCTGTAGTTCATGTCAAACTTCATAGTAATGGTATTGATCCTCCGATAATTTCAAATTAAAATCAAACTTTAGAAAAAGAAATATAACTCGATGCGCTCGTGCCCGCTTCATTACGATCAATATGGGCCATGAAACGATTACGAACGATCATAAAGACAGAGAAACTTCAGTTATTCCGACCATAAAACCACTAGCCTTGACAGGAGCTGCCATAAACCAGGCCACGTTCTTCTATTTCTTGCGCCCATTAATAACGTGTAAATGGTATATCTAACATCTCTAAAACAATGTTACGATTCATTCCTAGATTTATATTGATGTTTTGATCTGGCATACACGTGAGTGCTTGTCTTATTGCCTGATTATCTCAGTGACAGTAATTTTTTTAATAAATTCTAATGACGATTTCAATTTTGCTGATGATGAAGGATGATATGTTTGTACTTGTTTGACGCTCTGCGCATACTGTAATTTTATAAAAAAAAATAAGAGCGGAAACGACTCTTTAGTGTTTTAATTTATTTAAAGATACGCCTACTTTCACGTATTTCCTGACACGTACATGCTCAGAGTTTACCACAGAATAAGATAAAAAATTTTCATATTAAATAATGTTGTATGCTTCTAGTTTAGAAACTAGAGTCAATGGTCTTTTCCAATATAAAACTTCTCGAACTATTCGAGAAGTGAGAATGCCGTTAAATGGTAAATGATGCATATTTCTTCATGCAGCAAAATTTGAACACTTCTTCGATTATACACACAAGATTTTTTTTTTAATCCAGTACTACAATTCCCCTAAATTAATCTTCAAGTAATGTCCGGATCTGAATTACAAATGTATACGTTGTTCATTTTCAAGAAATTCAATAAATGTGTGGCTAAATATTCTTGAGTTTGCGGCATCAAAAGCTATGTTTGGCGTCTAGAGTCGACCAACAGGTCATTTGTCTAACAAAGCAGGCACCACAGATCTTTTTTGCTCTATTTTTTGTCATGAGAAACAACGGCACGTGAAATTGCCGCTTATTTTAGTGTGCCCTTTGAATTCAGTATTGCTTTATTTACGTATTCACGAACATTTTATTAAAGTAGTCTTAAGTAAAGAGATTTAAGAGATGTAGACATAAATGTAAAACTTCTGTAAATTGTGTAGTTCTAACTCAAGAGACAATTCTACAGATAATTATTGTTTGTCACAATAATTACCCATATATTATTTAAAAAATAATAATAATATAACCATTGATATGGCCGTTTTCTGCAACAAGCACATTCACTTTGGGTGCTCAGGTTTCAATGTTTACTTCATCTAAACACTGGAAAAATTATCAGTTATGATATCGAATATTTAATGTCCCAAATAAATATTCTTCGCATTGAAAAAACTTAGTCCAAATTGACATCTGGTAGTATACGTCAGTATGATACCTTGACTATAATTTATAAAACTGAGAATGTCATCATTAGTTCAAATCGTTTTATAAATAACCATAATTTAGATAATAAGCCCAACGCATGAGCGTTTCCTGATTGTGGAAGCAGCTATACAGGAGGTTGCCACGCAAATCTCAGCCAATATTGGACAAATTCTAATGCGTTATCTTTCTGCAATAAATAAATTGTCTAAGCTTGGAATGCCATTAATATGTCACTGTCAGTCTACCTTTGCTGTTGATGAATAAGAACATTCACTGCTAGTCTCAAAAACTTAAAGTTACCACGCGACTATCTGGGTGCTGAGCTAATAACATACTTTACAAACATTATGATGGCTTAAAGGGGATATAAGATGGTCTGAAATTTATATTTTGAATTCATTGTATCAAATTTAAGAATTTGTTGGAGGCAGTTCATAATTATCCTAAATAAATCTAAACGAGTGTGCATTAGTATTCAAATCAAATCGGTATCATTACAGCAAAACTTCGGAATATCCGTTTCTAAAAATATCTAATCAGTGTAAAAAACTCTACGGTTTTTGTGCATAATCTTCAATTTATTATCGTCAATCAATATCAATAATACATATATTGAATGAGTATAAGGCATTCGAATGTTATTTTTAGTCATAAAATCAACCGATTTAGAGTAAAAATCAAATTAAATGTTGTGCTACAGAAATGCTATTAAAATCAATTAATAAGAAACCTTAAGTAGCATTTTTGAAACCATATCAATTATTTTCCAAATAAAATTCCGGCCAATAAATTTAAGGTATATTCCTGCATAAATTGGAGAAAACATAAAAATTTCCGTTTCATTCAAAGTTAATTTTTAATTTGGGCAATAGTTCAGGCTTTTATTCTGCGTTGACCAGGATTTCCATATAACCAATCTCTGTGGGATCTTTTTTACTATATTTCGTCCGCGGCATCAGTGAGTAATGAAAAAAATGTACGAAGCATTTTTCCTGCCAGTAAATATTCTCATACCTATACATTACATGATTCACTTATTACATCAGCACATAATTTTGCACTATTCATTACGATCAAATTGAGTAGCCTAATTATTGCTAATATGCTTTATTGTGTGATAGCCATTTCATTAAAATTAGTATTAAAATATATGATCACTTTTGCAGTGCATTTATCTCGATTTTTTTATCGACGTGTTTAGTAGATATGACAGTAATATATCAGTGGCTCCCACTGACAAAGCTGTATCTGTGGTGCATTGAATGCGCCGCTTTAATTACGGGTCTGCAAATAACAGGTGCAGGGAAGAAATTGGCATGGGTGCGAGCTCATGCTGCTGCCAAGGCCGGACCTAAGAGCTACAATAGCAAGAGAGAGAGAAAAGCTTTACTCTATAATTGCTTAAGAATACGCAAGCGACCGCCTCCATTGTACGTGTGCCAGCTCTCATATAGGCGCCGCATTACAGCGTTAATGCTGCCTCCTGCTTCTCGTATTGCGCCTATGACTAAGTTATATGCAATCAAAACTTCAGCCTACGAAAAATATTTAGAACTTTGTGCATAAGCATAAGGTTTGCGGAATAGAATTATAAGGTACAATCCTGGTGGTTGCTGAAAACTTCTATGCTAGCGTCAGCATTGTTAATGATATAATAAAGTTGTCATTTTGTCCCATAAAATTCATGTCGAATATTTAGAATTGTTTCTTCTGTGCCTGAAGAAAATCTGAAAAAGATCAATCTATTCAATTATTCGTGGATTATTATTTTCTATGGTTGGATCTAGCTTAGCTGATTTAATGTAGATTAATTTGCGACATTGTAATTTGAATAATGCATCACTCGCGTTCTAGCGATGATTTGAAAGCTCATTTCGAAGGTGAGCGCTTTACAAACAAATTAAATATTTTGTTATAATTTTACATAACGGAAAGAGAGAATTAATAATTCAAACTATTTTTTTGTATCTAGTTGCTGCTGGAATATTTTCGACTACTAGTTTTCAATATAGCATTCGCAGAATCTATTCCATCTTGATTGTCACACTCCTTCTGAATTTACATATTCATGACACTTTCATACAGTGTTTTATACTAAACTTCTCTGTATATCGAATATATTTAACTACTCGATAAATTATAATCTTTTTAATTGCCAGAAAAACCTGCAGTACATGAATTAAGTAATCCTATTACTCATTTAATTGTCCATTAAAAATTAATCCAATAAAAATTAACCTCTAATTACGCCATTCTGAAGATTTTAAATAAATTGTCTATTTTAAATGTGAACTTTGATACTGGAATATGTTGCTTGTTTCTAATGTATACTCCAAATACTTTGTAAATAAAATTTCAGATATTTTTTCAGGGCTGCAAGGAAGGCGAAGATATAAATCAATGCGGGAATTAAAAATTCACTGTTGACGGTCCAAGGTGTGAAATCCATTCAAATCTTCGATGTCGTATATTATGCTATTTTTTCAGTCACATTAATATTTTTTATCGAAAGGAAAAATTAATGACAGAATAAGCTACAATTCTTAGTCGACTTTATCAGGAGCCTTTATTTTTATCAGAAAAGAAGCACATTGAGTGAATTTCTACTTATTATGAGTACAAAAAAAATTATTCAAGTTTCTGAACAAATTTTCAATTTCCTTAAAATACTTATTGGAATTTTTTACTTTTCCCTTTTTTATGTGAAATTTTCATGTATTTTCTTGCTAACTTCTCATCTTTTTTGTGTTTGCGGATGTTGAATGATATTCGGATATTTTTCTAAGCACCGGAAATTGGCAAGAGGTCTTTCTCCTGGATTTAAACCACTTGTTTAACTCGCACACGATCATTTATTGATATCTGTGATATAATTCTGATGCGCACCTTACGGAAATTTTTTGGTAAAAGTCACTTCTGATAAATAAATTGTTAAATCGCTCCTCATTGGACAAGCACTCAATATTAACGTATGATTTTGAACATAGATATGAATATTATTAATCAATCTCCTTATAACATTATGAAAAGTTGTAAATATTCGTACAAGTAAGTTGCTTATATTTTTTATAAATGTGTTTGTGTAAATGTAATTGATCCCTAATCATTAGTTTAAAAATTCCTTCCAATGTTGAATTTCCTGATAAACTCAAGATAGTGCAGATTGGCTGCTTGACAGCTAGTGATCGTTCTTGTTTAGCGTGTCTCGTGTTTGAGCTGTCACTGCCTGAAGGTGTGTCCATGATCTGACAGGTGTCATGGTCCTGCCTCGAGATGACATTGCGACTGAGGGGAACGAACACCTGTTGATACTGAGTGACAGGCCACAGATATCTTACCGTAAGGGAGTCCTGGATGATCTTGAACTCCTTGTACGTGTACTGTACGTTTTGAGACAGCACTTTGCTCACGATGCCTTCCAAGTTATCCATCCATTCTTGGTATTTTGCAAGACGGAAGTCATAAACTTCCTTGACGAAGCCATAGTTCTCCTGCCAGAACGTCATGTTGGCGGCAGTGGTAGCTTTAAGTCAGCGTAAAAACTGACAAAATTTATGCACAACTCGACGAACGACTGGAGAACTTCAACCGCTAACCTAGAGAGAGCCTAGCACGCTTAGCACCAGTTCGAGGGTCTCTGGTACGCAGCAGACTGAATCGAGCAGCTCTACGAAGCCCGCCTTAGCTCCGTAAAATTAGAACTTGCCGCTGCATCTTAGGACAAAGAATGCAGACAAATGCTATTTTTTACTCCAAATCTCGAGTCACGGAGTCGTAGCTATCACCAATGAGCGCGGGGTGGACGAGGGTCGCTAGCGCCCTCATGGCTCACATTACGCGGCCGCCGACACTTGTACGCGAGCAACCGCGGCGACAGCTTCGCTCTTGATGAAGCTCCAGCTCTGTAGTTAATCTAACTTTTTGATCATTTTCACATGCTGGCTACAAAAATTTATTTCAACTTCCTTCGAAGATAAAAACAAATATACTACGATCGCAGCTTTTTTACTCATACAATGTATTATACTGCTTCTAAATCATTTTTTGTAATGTATTTCACTAGATAGATAGTTTCTCTTAACGTTTGTGCGAATTATGTGGAACTGGATCTTACGTTTTCCATGTTTTAAAGAATTATTCTAGGCTATTTCTATGAACAATACAATATTCTGAACTAGTAACAAATCCCTCACATAATTCACCACATCAAGCTTGTATTTTGGCTATAAAACGTCGATCTTTGCGAATGAAAAATAACAAGCATGAGGATACCACCGTTTTCCAGTTATGCATATTTTTCAAGAATTAGCAATTTTTGATAAACGGGTCTATCAAATACATTGATAATTTTTCGTTTTTACGATCATACTTTTGCGCCCGTGTATATATAACACCAAACCCCAGCGTGCAATTGCTATTGCAAATCAATACGATCAATAAGCTGGCAGTATTTCAGGAAAGACCAAGCGTTGGATTATTGTAGTTGGAGTCAAGTTTGGTGTAGAAGTTGTTGGACGGCGCGTAAGGCAGCAGCTTACTTGCATGCTGAGGCATCGACTTACCTAATTCCTCAAGTTTAGGCTCGACGTCAACTGTTGATCGAGTCAGGAATCTTGCTTAGAACTTAGGGACACCTTCTTAGAAGCTCCAAGACTTGACTTGGCTTGCTGCTCGCGCGCTTAACAAGATCTCGCTGTCATGCAAGTGTTCCTGAGTTCAGCTGTCAGAACAGTCGCATGTTGATGTTCTTCGGTACTCTGGTTACAGGTTATAGCTTCAATTTCGACCGAAATAAATTTGCAACTGAAATTTCAAAGCCATGGAGTTCGTGGATATTTACTAAGAAAAGTCAGCGCATTTGGTTGTATATTTTCTACTCAGCGCTGAAATGAAAGCGTGAATTAGATGAATGGCGTCTTCCAAAATTAATTATTAATTAATTATTAATTAATCACATTATTTAAATGACTCATTATTGCGTCTTCCAGAAAAAGCATAAACCACGCATAATAAATCTTGGCCATTGTTTGAAATTCTCTAACTGAAGATAATAACAATCAAGCCATAAGTGGAAGTTTCATGTTACGACTGAGACAATTTCTTACAATTGATACAATACAGTATTTACCACAATGATTAACTGAAAGATTCGTGGTCGGTTCATTATGATTTAATAAAGTTAACTTTCGCGTTAAATCAATTAATATTCAATTTTGGGACTAGAGAAGCGCTTCAAGCAACGTAGGGTCGGCCGCTGCTAACACTGCCATGAAATTGGGTCAAATTGATGACGGAAGGTACGAGGATGCAGTAGCAGATAGCCTGCCACCCTCCTCTGTTATTACGCCTGAGTATCAACGTCTCTAATAACGCACTTACTTCACTTGGCCAAATTACAACCGTTAGTGGCAAGCGCGTTTGATTGCTGCCTACAATTACAGGGTGCGCCGTTGGCAATAGGACGTTCAGGTACAAATTAGCTCTAACGAAACTACAATCGTTAAGTAAATGCTAATTATATATGCAAGAAGTATTCTCCTGATAAAAATTAAGGCTACCTTCAACCCCCGAATATAAGCATAAACATCATCTATATAAATACTCTTATTTAATGCTGCAGTATCAACAGGTTGAACTAGCCTAAAATTAAAAATCGGTTTGATAATTTCTGGAATTTACAATTTAAATTTAGCTCAGCATCATGAGCGTCTTTTCTGTTTTGGGTTCCCCGGAAATATTATTTGTCAATCCTCGTTTAACTTTTCCCCTAAAATGAACAGGAGTATTAAATAATAATTTTCAGTGGCTATCTTAAATGAACTAAGAACTTCATTTCAGTGTGAGATTAAGAATCGATATTGCCCTAATATATTATTATTGCGCTAAAAAATTATTATTGTGCTAAAAAATTATTGTTATGCTAAAAAATTATTATTGCGCTAAAAAATTATTATTGCGTTAAAGAACTACTGTATTATTACGCTAAAAAATTATTATTGCGCTAAAAATTATTAATGCGCTAAAATCTATTTTATCAGTAGAGCATGTTTTAAGTTTCAGTACACTTCTGTTCTGCCTAATGAATAAATCATAATTAAATTCTGTGCTGCCTTGAGATTAATTATCCTCGATATTCATAAATCCTGTCATCCCAAATCTCATTATTCCGAGTCTGACTGCCCAGAATCATGTTGCATTAACACAACAAGTGATGTTAGTGAGAGAATGTTCGATTCTACCTTCATATATTATTGCAAACTAACTCCCTTTTCCAAGTATGAATGCAATTTAATTTTTTAAAAGAAAATTAAGCTACTAAACCGAAATAAATTATCTTAACTGTTATTCGACCAACCCTATACAGTGTTGTATCAAATGAACTCTTCAGGAAAACCAAATAATTCCACAGCTACAAATTTCTGATCAATGTAAGATACTAATAAGGGATGTATACTGGATAGACACACGAATGATTCTCATATATGTGCTGCAGGCTTCGAAAAAGCATAGAAATTAAAAAAAAATGTAACAGGTAAATACGTGGCATTTTCTGCAGCGAATAAAATTAGAAAATCGTTTAGTCAGCTCCAGTATTTGAACGCCAGCAGAATTGAGCTAAGGTCTCTCAGAATCCCCTGCTAATGCTACTTAAGGACCAGGATTTTCATTGCCTAGTGGTTCTTTTTTAAACTCTGCATAGAAGCGACCAAGTCAGAACCACGCCGGGCGAGCGGACAGGCCGCAGAGCTGGAGCTCAAGTGAAGAGGTCTCAAGGGTCGTGTTTGGAAGCCAGAAAATCAGCTTTTATAATTTGATTCATGAGACTGGGCCCGAGGAAAACTTTCTTCTCTCTCGAGAAAAGATTTTCTAATGTAGACCTGATTCTCTGACCAGGAAAACACAATGGGGGATGCAGAGAACTGAGCACGGCGATTTTTAAATTTTGACGAAAATCTTCAAATTTATTCCATTTAGTGAAAAGCTCACATATTAAACTTATTTAAATGGGCGGAAGATTTAAGAGTGTTCTTCTTGACACTGAAAAAATACGAGCAATTACTGAGTGATTAGGATTAATCCAAATTATTTCATTTATTAGCATGTAATAAAAGCGATTTTACAGTATATACCAATTAATACTTGCTTGAAATATTATGAGTATTTTTATATTAAGTGAACATAATATAATTAATATTATAATATATTAATATATTGAACTTTAAGTGAATTTTCTGTGCATAGTGTAAGGCTATGCGGATTGAAGCGTGTGTTCTTTAACGTTGTACTCGCAATAATTATGTTATAAACTTTTTATGGTTATGATAACTAGATAACATCAAGTGTCATATCAATTAAACTGCTTTCATATGATGTTTGGTAAGCGCCATCAAGCTGCAATTATTGGAGAGCCATCTTGTGCTTGCTGACAGCCTTCATGTTGTGCTGCATTCATACGTATTGGCCTTCATCAACCATGAGCATTGGCGTATTTCTTCTTGCAATATCGTATTTCATGTTCATACATTATAGGTTCTAACGCTTAATAACACATATAATATTAAATAACTGCTAATTTCACTTCAAATATAATGAAAAATTATTATTATTTAAGTATTATTATTAATATCGTCTTCCATACTCTTACATTAAAGGTTCGAGCGCGTAATAACTCAAATAGTATTAAATAACATGTAATCTCACTCCAAGTTTAATGAAGAATTATTATTGCAGATAACGTTATTATCTCACATCCATTATACGACAACTAAAGCAGAAAATTAAAAGCTGCGTATACCACAGGATACCTGATGCATCCTTCCAATGCTGTTATTTGCATCAGGCTCAGGCAGAAAAGTTAATAATTTTTTGTCGCTGCAGTGAGTAATTAAGCATATAGAACAGCCGCTTCGTGAACGATTACAAAATAATTATGTGAGTATTAAATATTTTTATTTTTATATCAACTATTGCATATTATTCTGTATTATATTAAATATTTTACGCTTGTGAGAAAATCAATTCGTCAGTAATTTTGTTTCTTGGTTGTCAATTTTTTTCTTTTTTTATTTATATAATTTTACGTTTTGTTTCAGCCTTAATGGAGGTACGAACACCCGCTTTATTCTTAAATGTATTATGGTCTCAGGAGTTATTTGTAATCTTTTCAATTCATGCACTAACTTTTTACTTCTAACAGATTATCAAAGTTCGATGGACGTGTTTATCAACTAATGGCCACAGCTTCGTAAACTATTTTCCGTAAAAATTTCCAAAATTATATTTTGAAGTTAGACTGTTACGAGATTACATAGCATGTGGGAATTGCGGATGAACATGTTATTTTCCGACTTGTGTGACGAATCGGAGGAAAATAGTGAAGTCAATTATGTATTACTTTATGACGATTTCCTTATTGGCCCGGTATTGACTTTAACCAAAATAACAAAGAAGAACAGTTTGAGGCCGGTTTAGAACTCTAGGCTTAAAGGGGGCAGATATCAATAATGCAGATAACGACATCATTCGCATCCCTTTTGAAATTGATTCTGCTACCAGCTTACGAGAGACAAAACACGATCATGCGTCCAGTTATTAGTTTATAAAAATTTTGTTACAAAAATACATTCATTAATTTATTCAAAATTTCTTGCCTATGTTTGATCATAGCCCATGTTTCTCATTTAATAAGTTAGTTTAGTAAAATGTAGTTATAAAAATAAAAATACATGTATAAATTTATACAAAATTTCTTACATAATTATGTTCGGTTATAGCCCATTTTTCTCATCTAGTAATTGTTTTTAGCATCCCTTATGTTCTCGCGCGTACTCTATTCTTGCGAAGGCCATTGATATGAACAAGACATAAGACAAGTCGACATCCAGCGCCAGCTGTTATCCCTGCAACATGGAGGTGACAGCTGCACAAGTTGCATGACATCTCCTGGACGCAGCATGAACTTCTGTTGCAGGAAGGATCTGCCACGAGGCTAAAATAAAACTTAAATTAAGATACGATTAAACACGAAATCTGTGGAGATCATCTCCTTTTATCTTTCAATTATCTACTTTTATCTCTCAATTATCTTCTTTTATATCTCGATTATCTCCTTTTATCTCTCGGTTATATCCTGTTATCTCTCGATTATCTCATTTTATTTCTCGATGGTCTCCTTTTATCTCTCGGTTATCTCCTTTTATCTCTCGGTTATCTCCTTTTATCTCTCGATTATCTCTTTTTATCATATCGCACTGACTAAAACATATTTCAACATTTGTCGCAACCCTGTAATATTAATTGAAGACTGTATTCCTTTCTGAAGGTAAAGTGCACAAAATGGTATAATATTACTTAAAATTTTGAAATTTTTAATTTATGAACTATTTTGCTGCAGTTCAGGAACAAAGCCGTCGTTCGCGGCGAACTGAAAGACGTAATTTACGTTTATGCTTCAAAGTTCGATGTTGCAAGCCACTGGCCTGGAAGAGAGCCACTGAGACATAATTGATGAAGCAATGAGGAGGTGATGACCCTCTAACCGAAGTATTTCGGAGTCATGATTGCCTAAAAGCTCCAGCAAGGGCTCTCCTACGGGGCCTTCAGAGACCCTATTACTCCGCTGCATCCGCTACAAAACAGCGCCTGATCGCTCCTCGTGAGCAAGTTCAGTTCGCCAGCTCAAGTGCCTACCCGCGCCGTTCATGCTCACTTCAGGAAAGAATTTTCACATAAGACATTTTACAGGTCAAATTCAAATACCGTCCACGCTGATTCCAAAAGATAATTTAAAAAAAATATATAACTCAGTACTCACTGCAGTGAGTGACAGAGAGCGCATTTTCTCGTCGACGAAAACGTGAGGTCAAGGACGGACGGATAGACGGACAGATAGACGGACAGACAGACCGACGGACATGACGAACACAATAGCGCCTTTTTTCCCTAAATGAGAAAATGCGCTAAAAAGGGAATTTTACACTGAAGATAAGTCATCTATTTTTCGATCTTCCATCAGAAATTTTTATTTTCTGTTCCCTGCGTCTTGGAGGGTAGCTGTTGCTTCGCCCAGCATTTTCTTTTGTTTAACAAAACAGTGAAAGTTTATAATATCTCAGCAGTTGTACTTTACGCTTTGTAATAGAAAAGGGTTTACTTGTTCTTCAATTCTCTGAAACTTTTATTTACTTTAATTTTGAAACTTGAAGTAACGCTTTGATTTAATCTTTATTCAACAACTCTATGAATTTTTTTCTTCGGTATTCAATTCAAAATTGTATATTATTCCAAAATTAAGCATTACTCGTATGCATCAAATACATACTTACACACGAGCATTTTCAGAGCTCAATGCACTCAAATGCTCACGCGAATTTCTCAATGCTCACTCAAATTTCTCAATGCTCACTCAAATTTCTCAATGTTCACTCTAATTTCTCAATGCTCACTCAAATTTCTCAATGCTCACTCAAATTTCTCAATGCTCACTCAAATTTCTCAATGCCAACTCAAATTTCTCACTGCTCACTCAAACTTCTCAATACTCACTCAAATTTCTCAATGCTCACTCAAATTTCTCAATGCTAACTCAAATTTCTCACTGCTCACTCAAACTTCTCAATACTCACTCAAATTTCTCAATGCACACTCAAATTTCTCAATGCTCACTCATATGGCGCGCTGGGGCCCAAGCGTCACGGTTCACAGTTAGTGAAGAAATTAGTGTTACGGTCATGGAGAAAATTAAAGCACCAAATTTTGCTCACGATTGCATGCGATGAACCTCAATAACGACGCGGATACGAGCGAAGCGACCTGCGTTATTACGCATTCAAGAGCGACAATAAGCACGCATTCCAAAGTTGCCAATGATATCGTTGCGACGGAATTATGAAGTATATGTCAGTCGTTACAGAGATGAGCAGTCAACCTGATCATCATGTCATAACTTCGCAGTATTCGGTGGCTAGTTTTCCCCCTTAATGTCCTGCCAAGCGCCATGCAAATTGCGGGGGGATTTGGCAGTTTTCTGGAATGTTGTTATATTTTTCAACTGTCAGCGGATCAAATTTATTTCAGAGAGTAATGCGGGTAAACAAAAATTTGCGCCGAAAATCGCGTCATATTGCTGTTATCTGACGTGAAAAATCCCCACATTTACTTTAACCTTCAGTTCATAGAACGTGAAATAGTTTGAGGGTGTTCAAAACTACAAAAATTTTCCAAATTAAATTTTGTGATACAATTAGTTTTGTCGAATATCGTCACAGGCAGTTACGAGTCAATAACCGTCATTCATGTTGAGCATAAAATTAAGTCTTGAAGGAACCTACTAAAACCCAGAAAAAATATTAACGTGGAAATTGTGAGAATATTTTGAATTGATTTGCACATATTTTCGAAGAAAAAATTTGTCGAAAATATTTTTGAACAAAGTATGGAATGTCCTTCCAACATTAATTCAAAATAATCGTTTGAAAATTATCTATCGCTGCCAATGAAAAAACTTTCACTGGAATGTATCTTAAAATGAAAGGTCTTGTCCAACTCAAGTCGTAAACATCAAAAACTTCTACATGCGGTGATGTATTTCATGGAGCCCGTAAACTCCCACTAAACTTTTATGCCATTCCGTTAGCAAGTGGCCGGTGTAGTGCATTGCAAAGCCCTAAAACTTTCTCCCTGGCATCTCGGTGAAGATGTCGCTTTTCCAGGGTGACGTTGGTGAAGAGGTGAGTTATTCCGAGCAGCTTTAAGAGCAACTTAATCAACAGCAATAGATAGTTCTTGCCCGCCAAAGCTGTAAAAGTCAAGTGACGTTCTGAAAAAAACGCACTAGCACTTTCCTAGCGTTTGATTTTGTATGACTGATGGATGGAAAGATTATCATAGGAAAAATTTTACACACAGAAGATTTTTCATTGAAAAGATTTTACATTAGGAAGCTTTTACATCGAAAATCTCTGACTCATAAGATAAATACATTTTTTGTTTTCCTTTTATCAGTGAGACGGACAATTCCGCTTGTAAATTCTCGAATGTGCGAATGAGGTTCTGAATCATTGATGAGGTTTTACTTGTGAAAATCACTTCACTGTGTTCTTCATACCGTCAAAACTATTTTTTAGCATCAGATGAAACGAAAAAATTATCTGTTTGAACCAGATCATCAACTAGCGAATCATCTAGTAGAATTCCATATGAGAATAGTAATATTCGATCAGTGAAGGCGTCTATAAGAAATTAGTGGCACAGAGCCGCAGTTCTGAACCCCAATAACCTTGAAATAAATACACCATAGTAGAGCTCAAATGGATATTAGAATGCAATCCCGATCCAGGGCATGGCCGGGTCCGATGAACAGCTCTCACCATTTCCTCGGGCTCGGGTCGCACAGTCATCTGCCGAGCACAAATTCTCGATCGAAAATCTTTAATGCCGTCGGGTTTGCCTGGGACCTCAATCAGGGGATGCCAGCGAATGAATCGTCTTGAAAGGCCTTGCCAAAGTGAAAAGTATTGGTGATTTTTTGTCTCGTGCTCTATCGGAAAGCAGAAGAGATTCTCGCTAAGTACACTGGCACAAATGGAAAATGGACGGCTTGTCATTTTCTTCGGGAGATTGGGAAAAATCGGCGATTGTGAGTGTGTATAGATGGAGCATAGTGTGTGATTTACGTAAAGTTAAAAATTTATATCATTAAACTAAAGCACTTTTCTCGATCGTATCTATAGACTATTGAAAAAAAAGTTCAGAGTTCAGACTACCACCTTTTCCGCACCACCACCCTATTATCAGTAAAAAATACCCTTTTTCAACCCCATTTTTCTTCATTATAACTCATTTGCAGTGAGGTATTCCAATAAATTCCTCCAATAATTTACGCAAAAGAGCGATAGTATCTGTCCTGAACGCTGATCCTCGATGTCGCACTCGAGATGTCGTGGCAATAAAACGCGGCAAGGAAGATGCCGAGGCAATACAACACGGTAATGAAGATGTCGAGGCAATAAACACGGTAATTACGGAAGATGCCGAGGCAATAAAACGCGGCAAGGAAAGGTGCCGTGGGTATAAAACACTAACGAAAGATGAAGTGGCTAGAAAAAACATGGTAAGGAAGACGCCGAGGCAATAAAACACGGTAAGGAAGATGCCGAGGCAATAAAACGCGGTAAGGAAGATGCTGAGGGAATAAAACATGGCAAGGCAGATGCCGAAAAGATGCCGATGCAATAAAACACGGTAAGGAAAGATGCCGAGGCAATAAAACACGGTAAGAAAGATGCCAATGCAATAAAACACGTTAAGGAAGATGCTGAGGATGCCGAGGCAATAAAACACGGAAAGGAAGATGCCGAGACAATAAAACACGGTAAGGAAAGATGCCGAGGCAATAAAACACGGTAAGAAAGATGCCGATGCAATAAAACACTGTAAGGAAGATGCTGAGGATGCCGAGGCAATAAAACACGGAAAGGAAGATGCCGAGGCAATAAAACACGGTAAGGAAGATGCCGAGACCATAAAACACGGTAAGGAAGATGCTGAGGCAATAAAACACGGTAAGAAGTGCTTCAATGTATTAGCGGCAACACGCCAACTTTCATCGTCAGTTGCCTAGACTGACGCCAACAAGTCGGTGGATTCGTTGCCGCGAAAACAGATATCGACACTTCCTCCTTATCAGAACCTGTTTTAGGGAAAATCAAATGAAAATAACCACGAGAAAATGTCTACGACACTCGAAACAAGTTCATCAATGCCAGTCGATATTTCCTTCCCCTGACATTCTTAGGTTATATTTTTTATGGGAAAGCAAAGGATGAATTGTTGTTTAAACCATGACCAAATATTAATTTTTTAACCACAGTTTGCACATATAATCCCCATTATGGATTCAGCTGAAAGTATGAATGTTTTTAATCATTCATGGTTCGCAACAGCAACCGTTGAAGCTTAACCAGAAAATTAAATTCGATTCCGTTGCCTCGATCTTTCTGAGCAAAAACGAACTAAAAACGAAAAATTGAACTAAAATAATGCTATAACTACCACATGAAAAAATTGAGAAAATTCTGTCTTTGGACGAAAAATCCTTCACAAATAAATATTTGTCATATATCTTCTGTTCAACACTTTCCGAATCAATTGTAATGTACTGTAAGTATCATTCAAGAACTAGATTATTTTCTATCATCTGAACTTTGAATTATTAAAACCCACCGATATATGCATGATGAACAAGTTATACAGTTATAAAATTATGGTGACCCAATTATCTTATCGCAATTAAGATAAGGCTGTCGGGATGATGAGCAGCGGAGAACAATTATTAATTAAATTTTCTTCAGTGACAACGACTTCCCCATAATGATTCTTGCAAGGCCTCTCGATCTGTCATCCGTCAATCTCCGACTATCTGTAATTACCTGTCCGATATCTGGTATCGGCTCATCAGATCCTGGTACGGCTTTCGTTCAAGGCCGGGCTTCTAAATCCATTTCTCACCAATATGAAGGTCAAGATATCAATGAATTACGACCGTGTCTTCTATCAATGGTCTGATTGCCTCAAGTGTCCCTGAATTCAGGGTAACTTTCAGGCGTTTTTATTTATTCAGCCTAAAAAATGGATTTATCCTACTTATTTATTTTTATTCTTAACTTAATTCCGCGCATTAGATGTTCATGAACATGAAAATCTTCCAAGTAAACAGATCCCTATATATCGCATTTAATTCGTTATCAAATAAAATACTATCGAATCGTTGAATAAAATAATTTAAAACATAATATTTTCATAAAATCTGGTGATTTTTCCCTAGTTCGGTGCACAAATTTGTGAAGAAGAAAGATCGATTTTGTCAACAACATACATCAAAATAAAACGTCATCAATCATTTCGTTCTCTCGCATTGATGTAATTCTCAAGTCTCTGTTTTCGTATCAATTGCGCAAAAATTTTGTCCGTTTCAGTCATTGCCTTGCTCATTTCCGACAAACTACTATGCATGTAAAACCGTTATGATTCCAGCGTTGATTTTTTCCAAATTTAAACTCAGATGACTTCCAGGAGTTTGACTTTGTTTTCATTGATGGTTCTGAACTTCTGGAATATTCCCTCAAGCATGGACACGTCTGGCTTCACTGCGCTGGAGATGTTACAGATGGTCTCTGTGAGGTTGTTCGTCAGAGTCGACAGTTCGCTCCATGTGTCCACCAGCTCTTGGACCTGAGGCAGAGGCACCCTCTCAAATTTTATGTTTTGTGAGGTTAAATATGATTTTCAAAAACAATACATTGAAAAATTATTTCCAACATGCCGTAGCTTAATCAAACATGGTATATGTAAACAAGTAATTTCGTCATCGTACGAAAATGTCATTTCAGAGCATTCCCTAGGCCAAACGTTTGATGTCATCTAAGTCGTAAATGTTTGATGTCATCTGAACAAAGACACACAGGCACAGTATGTGATCTCTTAATTAAATATAAAAAATGAAAATATTAAGGATATTATATGCGTTGAACTGAAGGTCTATGTGAATAAACAATAAACCCCACTTTATTTACGTGTAAAAGTTCCTTCAAGATATATTAGTAATTTTTATTGGCTAAGAGTTTGATGGTGATATGCCCTTTGAAGTTCATTTACCTTCTTAACTCGTTCATCAGCAACTTTCTTGACACCATCCCATCTTCCCGTGAGCGTCTCCACCTCGTTGTCCGATTTGGTCTGTTTCTCCATCTTGCTTTTGCTCTCGACGGCGGAATCCAGCTTGCCTTTGTTCTCGCAGCAGCCCGCCTCGAACGTCTATAAAACCAACAAATCATTCAATGCCTTCTTTCCTGCAGCACTAACAAATTTCTCTGCTAAGCCAGGACGTCCAATGCAAATGGAACTGTGAAGGCGATTCAATCTGAACCTCTAGAAGGCCTTTAATTCCGCGATACGCAGGGGACGACAGTAAAGGCTTTGAATTCAAATGGATGTCCGAGCTCAGCAGAACAAAGCTACTGAGAATAAAATCTACTTTCTTTGTAAAATAAATTTAAACTTAAATTTAGGAAGGAGTTAAAAAATTTAGGAATTTTGCTTTAAGTAAAAAAATTTTAATCTAAGCAAAATAAATAACAACTTAAATCGTTTGATTACTGAACATCGCAATTTTAGCAGATCTAGCATTATTATTTAAGTAGATTTGAAAACTGCAGCTGCATAAAAAATGTTTTCTTAGAAATAAAAAAATAAACATTATAAAGTTGGCAGAAATGAATCATTTTATATAAATTCTGAAAATTACAGCAGTGGGCAATAAATTCTATGGGATACTTGAGTGACATACTATGTTCCTGTGCTTCATAGAAAATTTTCTAGAATGTTGCGTGGGTCACGGGAAAAATCTATCAGTACGGGATTTACTGGGAGGAAAACTACAAATCAATTTTACTGTGAAATCTCAATATTTATTTATAATATATTCAAATATTTTAATAGGCTTGAATATTAAGCAATTACAGTCAGTTAGTTACAGAGTTGACTTAATTTTTAAATGTCACTCGTGAATTTTCTAAGTAAGATTACCCAAAGCAAATACGATTCTAAATGAAACTTGAAAAATATTGAGAATATATTTTAATGTCATGCACCCACTTTTAATTATATATATGACTGCTCATGTTTACACATCAAATATACATTAAATCAAGTATTTTCTTTAGGTGGATTATAATTTTGCTTGAAATTATAATTAATTTGAAACCAAGACTCTAAACTTTGGTGAACACGTTCCGTCGCCTTAATAAACATGAATATCATAAAATTTCATATTTAATATCTGATTAAAAAGGGATATTTAATTGGATTACTCTACTTAAAATTACTTTACTCTGCTTAAAATCATTCAATTTGACTTTCGTTGACAAACCTTGACTTCCTCGAGCAGCTTGAGAGCGTCTTCGAGAGTCTGGGGCTTGGCAAGCGGCGTCTTGGCGACGGTCTCGGCCGTGTCCATCCAAGGCTTGAAGTTCTTCACACCTTGGAAGTACTCAGCGTAGTGCTTCTGGTCCTGTTGCCGAACACAATCAACATGATGAATTTTATGATATAATTGGGACTCAAAAGGATTTTTTCCGATCGTTTTTATATTTATCAGTTATAATGGCTTAGGGAACATTTTTATAGGAGCTTCGCTATGTAATAGATTCGAAGAATTGATAAGTTCTATTTCAAATTCAATAGTCAGCAAACCACCAATATTGTGAGAAGATTTATTTTTTGAATGTCAAAAAGCAGTTTAACTGGAAAACGACCTCTTATGTTGTCCTACAAGTCTGTTTTTTTTAAGTTCTGCGTGATGTTGAAAAACTTTTGCGTTTTTGAAGTTATGCGCCATGTAATAATTTGCATTTTCGCTTCCTGTATTAGCGTCGAGGCTCAAATGACTCGGATGCCATGTTCATTAAATCGAACGTAGTATAAAATAACATTGGCAATAGAAACTCCACGTAGATCATTCCTGGAATTTTTAGTTCCCCACTACTTTTCCCAGTAAATCTTTGTTCTTCTTTCAGTTAGCGTAAAATTCGGAGTACGCGAATAAAGTTATAGTTTTCAATTAAGTTTGAAACATTCCAATATATTTAATTTCTTTGAAGTAAAACGGGGTAATGAGTAAAACAGTAGGTCATATATTATGAAAAATAAAGGGAGAATCCCGCAGTGAAATTCACAACGAATGTCTTTGTTTGTGATTCTCACCTGAGTGATCGAGCCTGCCTCTATTTCCACCTTCTCGTGCATGGTGGTGAGCGTTTCTTTGATGAGCTCAAACTCTTCCATGTGACGCTTCGCGGTCTCACTCTGCTGAACTTCCGAGTCCTCTGTTAGAATTGCAAACAAACTTGAAGAAGCGAACAATAATTGATTATTATTGTATTATTATCAATAATACAATGATTGATTGACTTCCGTTGCTATACTATAATATCGAAGGTTATACGTAATCAGGAATACTTCCAAAATGTTTTTCACTCGGAGATGTCCCCTCTTTGTTTTTTATTTTCCTTGCATGTTGAAAGAAGTAATTTGAGAACAACGCAAAAAAATATTCTATTATTTCTTTTTTCCTGGCGAAACAACGCAAAAAATTCATATGGATTTGTTTTTTTTTTCTGGCAACGATTACCTTCAACGATTTTTCGCGCTCTTAAGATTGAACCTACGCTAAACTATTGCAATAATTGACGGGTCCCAGATATTGAAATTTGAAATTTATCTTAGTGTAAATTTCAAAAATAAGATGCACGCGCGTCCGAACAAAAGTAAATGATTTTTTGATGAATAACACATTACAGATTTCAAATTAACTTCACTTTTTTTATCGAAGTTGGCTACGCAAAGTTTCAAAAGTGCCACCACATCTCACCTTCACCTGTGATGTCACGAGCAGAGCAGCGGCAACGCAGCACAACATCACGTTAGGCGACAACATTTATGGGTGGCAAAAAATAAAGCATTAAGTAAAATGGCAAAAATGCGTGTGCAATCCATAAAATAATAATAAAATAAGGAGAGCAAAATAACTCAAATCGAATGGTGTAGAAAATTCTCGAATGCCATTTACAGAGCAAAATTAATTCATAGGATACTTCAATGAAATTTTGACTGGGAATTTAGTTAATTAAAAGTAGTAGTGAATATAGGGAGGTAGGAAAATATTGCGCAGAGTGGTGGCATTCATGCAATAGAGGATGTTTATATACAAGTGAATGGGTTCTGGTGAATGATCTTGTTGTCAAATAGAATGCGGATATAGAAACTTCAAAGCTCTTTCCGGAATATTTTAGAGTACAAATTAAAATACAAATAGCTGTGAAATACTATTTCACTTGCTTCGTTGTTACTAGCCAGACTTTGGAAACTTCAGAAGATGCCCTAATAATTACAGTATATGCTGGAGACCGAAAAACACTCAGTTTCAAGACGGAACATAAAAGAATTAAATCTCTTGTGAACCAAGCTATGATATGAATAATTTTTCCCGAAAATTTAAATTATTCCGCTGATAAATTTGGGAAAATAATTTATTTGATTTTCAAAGTTAATCTCAGATTAAAAGAGTATTAAAAACTACCTGAAACAAAAATTTATAGAAATAAATCTAAGAAACGTGCATGTGCTTTTGAAATATCGAGCTAGAAAATTCAAAAAGAGGTACAAAAATAAATTTTTAAACCTAATTGGTCTGGTGAATGAATATAAATCAGTTTAAGTGGAAATATGCTTTGCAAGAAGTGTCTCTCTTTTAACACAATTATATTATATTTTTATGCTCACCTTCAAGAGCTGCAGGCCAACATCGCAGCAATGAAGAAACAATGAAGGGCAATCCAGACAAAAAGCGGGAAGGAAATCACAAAAATGTTATTCAAAAATATAGGGATCAAAAATGGCCAATCAACGAAGTATAAATATCACATTAAAAAAATCTGGCAGGCGTGATGGATGAGGAAGCAATATGTAAAAAATAGATAAAAATTGTACAAAATTTATTTTATTGTAAAAATATCATTTCTAGGGCTTATTATAAACGACGAACTCCAATTCAGCAGGATAATTAATTTGTCCGAGATGAGAAAAATCCACAAATAGCTCACAATGAAGTCCAATTAAGCAAGCAACTTTATCAGCACCGACAATTATAACGGGAAGCGAACACAAACTTCATTCAAGACAAATAATATTTTATTAAATTATACGTACATGCAAGAAGACGGACATCTGAAATGGAGCCGGCTATACATCTGGCGCTTTAGAGTAAAAATTTTCTCTTTGAACCATTTGCTTTGGTTCAAACAAAAAGGTTCATTAAAACTCGCTGGGTAAACCATTAAAAGTTTTACAGACTTACAGCTCACGCTGTTTAATATCAATATTTAAACCCCTTCTTGGGAGACGGAATAGCGAGCAGTTGTTCATTATTTGCGGTAGTTTTTAATGGGTTTGAAGACTGCCAGGCATCAAGCAAATGTTAAAGGCAGACTTACACTCTTTACGTCTTACGTGATTCATGGGCAACTGAAATATGACCAAGCACTTGGCTCCCTCACCGTACTGGCAGCTCAAACTCACCTTTCGCTGGAGGAAAAAACAAAAAATATATAAATTCGAAAATTGATATTCATATTGTGAACTCATAAGCACGTGTTGGCGATAAGAATTGCTCTTTGGATAGTTGCAAGAAGTATTTCTATCATCTTTTGTCTCATTAATATCTATTTTATATTTATATTCAATTTTTACGTTTGAAATTCATCTAATTGGCGAATTTGAACTAACATACAATACTACGTAATACCAGATTCATAAGCAGTACATAATTCTTGATACAACAAAGCTTAGGGAAGAAATTTAAAGCGGTCAGAGTGAATTATGTCTTCTGGTCAAATTTGTCCTACAATGAAATAAATTGAAGAAAAATGCCCTCAAATTGAAACGGAATATGTGGGTTGATATTTATGTGCAATGAGACTAGGCTAAATATTATGGCCAAATTGTTATAAAATGTACACAACTTTACCCAACTCAACATTAAAAGAATCAATGCTGTGACACCACTAAATTATTTATAAAAAAAATCCAAAAGTAAGTGAATTAGGAACTTACATTTAATTTGGGCAAAATTTACATTGGAATCAGAAAACTTTCTATGATTTAGATTTGAACATAAAATAATTAAAATCAAGCTTGACTTGCCATAAATAAAAATCGAAATTTCATGTAATAAAAAATCGAAATTAATAATCTTAGTTTTATAGCTGTAAAAATTACATAACTATAGACATATATAAATGTTCATAAACAACTATAAATTGTGACAATAGGGAAAATGTAATTAATTCGAAAAAATGTAACTCTGTACTCACTGCAGTGAGTGACAGAGAGCGTTTTCGTCGACGAAAACGTGAAGTCACGGACGGACAGACGGGCATGGCGAGCACAATAAAGCATTTTTTCCATAAATGAGAAAATGCGCTAAAATGTATATATAAATGATAATATCTCACCATCGAGAAGGTCGTGAGCCTCAGCCTCCAGAGGCTCCAGGAGAGGTAGCCTCTCGTTCACCTGAGCGGAAAATTTAAAATCCTGCTTAACCGCGCGCCATAAATCTTCCTCAGATAAAAATTCGCAAGAAAAAGATTATTCCAGCAAAAATACGTATTGGATACGTTTTTGATGACTCCATAAGTGTTCAATGTGAACGTGTGAGGTGAATCAGAAAAAGTGCGTGATGTAATGAAATCATTTTCGTCTGCTATGAAATCATTTTAAATTTCTGGTACTGATATCGTTATGATATATTAGTTATTGTGTGTAACATTTTGTTCGACATTGAAGGAAGTTTTTATTACAATTGCGTACTTTCATTCAGAAATTTAATTTTTTTGTATTGTTCTTCGAATGAAAATTTTTCGTCCTTTTTAAAGTGATTTTATTCTACAATCTGCAAATAAAAGTTTATTCAGACAATTAAAATTTTTCGGCACATGTCACGAGTTAAGTGAAATAATTCCTCATTGTGCAAATAAAATGAATACTTGGCTTGGCGCTTTAACAGCGAGGACCAGCTTGCTTTTGGACGTCATGAAAAATATTATGTTTTGCAACATATGCCACGCTTGATGAAAAGCCCTCCCCCTAGTTATTAACCAACGAGAAATGTTGCTATCCGTAGCTCTCCATTTTCTATGCCTTATCTCAAGGCTTGTTACTATCCATTGCGCTTCAATATACATGCCTTTTATCTAAAGCCTAGTTAAAATCTATTGCTCTCCATTTTCTTTGCCTTTATCTCAAGGCTTGTTACGATCCTATATACGCTTCAATATCCTTGACTTTTATCTAAGGCATAGTTAATATCCATTGCTCTTCATTTTCCATGCCCTTATCTCAAGGCTTGCTGCTATCCATTGCGCTTCAATATCCATGCCTTTTATCTAAAGCCTAGTTAAAATCCATACTCTTCATTTCCATGCACCTTAGTTCAACGCTTGTTAATGGTTCCAAGAATCATTATGCTCAGGGATGTGCCATCTTCTTCTCCATAAGATCCACTTTCTGAAATTTTACGTCAAGCTCTCATGCATAACTGATGACCTCATAGATGCTGGAAAATTCCGTTCCTGTGATATCTTTGAAATTCGCGTTGTCCCCCAGGAAATAAATCCCCCGGGAAAATTATCATATGGTACCCCCGGGTGTATGATGGTTTTGGAAATAATATAGCGTATTTTCTTGACTTATTTTGCGCTAGAGAGAGTGAAACAATTTAAATCGGCGGTCCATTAAAGGAAATTTAAAATTATATTTAATTCTGTTCACACTATCTATGAAAGGACTTGATATTAATTTTACATACATAATTATGATATAAAATTTAGCTCAATCATTACTATGCATCGAAAAAAATTGCTGCATTCGATCCATCGCTTGCAAGCTTCTAATATAACTTTATTTCCAACCATCACCGCCGCATAACTAAATATAAAAACTATTATATTTACCTGGGCTTGCAGATCAAAGATTTCCTTGACACGATCTTCGGGCGTGAGCTCCGTCGAAGTGGTGATGAACTCGAGCTTCTCAGAGGCCGGCACCATCCAAGCGTGCAGCTCTGCCATCTTCTCGACGAGCTTGTTGAGGCGATCGTTGAAGTCAGACAGCTCGTGCAGCAGCGCCTCGATCTACACTCGAAAATAGTGATGGGTCATGTAGTTTTAATAGATGCTTGTGCATGCAGTGATACCACTATCACTAGATGCTTGTGCAGTGATACGTTTCTTTTTCTTTTGGGCCAAACTGAGTCAAGATGACCCACGTAGGACAAAAGTGCATCGCTATTTGCCCATAGTTTCATGAATTTCTTTGAGTGCAATATAAGGAAATCTGCATCCGCGTTATGTTTCACGAACTGAATCCCAGACTATGAGTTCATAAAATGATTGAAATCCAGTTTTATAGTCACTCGTATGAGGTCACAATTCTATTTAATTAATAATTTTATTGCGTTTCCTGGTTAATTATCGATCGATATGATTCTAGACATTTAATGAGTAGAAAGGATTCTCCAATTTCATGTTGTCTACGTTTTTTAAATGAGATTGACCAAGTCAACGAGAGACATGAAACTATGCAAGCTTTAAAATCAAATTTCTCCACTGCAATCCTTTCATTATAGGTGCCACTATACGATTTTAGTAAAACCACAAAACTTCAATTCTTATATGCCAAAATTTATATGACTGCCACATGCCTCGTTAAAATCTGAAATTAAATCAGCACCTTTTGAACAATAACGGAGCGCTCGTCGATCTCGACGACTTCCTTCTCCATGAACTCGCGCTTGTCTTCACCGGCCAAAGCCACAATGTTGGCAAAGGAGCCTTTGATTGAATTATAATGTTCTTTGACTGTGGCTGCGAGGGTCTCAGCCTTCTTCTTCTTGCGGTCCAGCCATTCGGCGCCCTTCTTCGGGTCAAAGACTTTCTTGTAGGACTTGTATTGTTCTTCCAAACTTTCGAGAGGCTGCAGGATCGACACACGCTGATTCTCGTACGTATCCCAGTCCTTGTGGACATCTGAATGAGGTGATCGTGGCAAAGGTAATGTTAAATCAGTAATACGAACATGCATAGAATTCATGAAAACTAATTTTAATCAAATTAATTTCTTGTTGAAATTAAAAACAATATTTTGAGAGGTTATCCAGCGATAAACATATTGGAATGTTCAATAATAATCCAGTCAATGTACAACGAGTTCACGTTTCATCAGAAGTGAAATTGTGCAACCAAAGTATTATCATTCTACATACACATTCTTAACTTGGCTGAACGATGTACAGGAAATGCGTTCACCTGATCGTAAAATAACATAAAATACTAACCTTAACCTTAGTAGTGACCGTCATCTCACCGAAAACTTTTTTATGTGTATTGGAATACATTATAATATTTCATTCATTCAAAAAGGCAATTTAAGTTTAATCTTTGCTTCTGCATTTTTTCTTTATCATCTTCCTGCAAAAATTGTCCTCGAAATATCGGAACACATCCCAATTAATGCGTAAGCAAAAAGGAATCTCCTTTCTCATATCTTGTAGCATAAATAATTACGTAAATATTTGTTAACATGCCCACAAATCTGTAGTGAATAAACAAGACTGCGATGAATAAATGTATAATACCAAACTGTCATGCAGCAGCCCGTGTGATATAAATGCTTATCCGTGTCTACAATTAATTAAATCAATCAGGCGCCTTCGGGACCACTCACTGTTGAGCATCTCCAGCCTGATCTTGGCCTTCTCGTTAGTTTCCTTCCATTCAGTTTCCAATCTGTCTATCTCCTTCTCCAGGAATGATGGAGCGTTAGGATTCGATCTCAGCTTTGCTCCACGCTTTATGAGCTCGTTGTAGATCGAAGCTTGGTTCTCGATGGTGCGCAGAACCTGAGTGAAGAAGAGTGTTAAGGATAAGTAAATGCTTTAGAAATTGGGCACGCGTTTGGTATAATTTAATTCGATCAATACCCACATCGCTGTCTTGCAATGCCTAACTATTACTCCGCTTAGAGTAAATTTTCAGGTCCAGGTAATATACCGACACGAAAAGCATAGCGGATACGTGCTCGAACAACCTCTATATATTTGTGGTACCAAACTTCGAACATGAAAACTTATGAAAACAAAACTTCGAACATGAAAATAAGATTACATATAATAGTTTAATTTTTTATATTAAATAGACCGATTTTTTGTCGCGTTTCAGTCAATATCAAGAATACTCGCCTTCTCTTGCTTGTCGATCTGATCTTCAACCATCTCCATGGTGTGCGGGTGTATTTCTTTGCAGGAGAGATGCTTCTGCTCGTTGAGGACCTTCATGACGGGATGAATGTCATCTCCAAAGGCGTAGCACTCCGAATAATGAGCCACCTTACCTGTAGCAATACAGCCAAGCTCGACACCATCGATGCAAGCTGTCACTACGGTGATCAACTATAGGAGACATTGCATGGCAATCCTATACATTATAGGATAAGCGCCATATGGTGTATCTCAATGAGAAAATGGGATCATATACAATGATTGTCACAAAAGATGCATAGAACAATTACTAGAATTACTAACACTAGAAAACTATACTCATAATATGCCAATAGTGGATGTTCTAAAATTAGAGAGTATATTCTCCCGTGGAAATTTTTGATTTAAAATTAAAAAAAAACATGGATGTCTGGTTGAGTTCAAATTTGATACAGATACAATAAAAAATGAAAGTCTAAGTTTTATTTCTATAAGAACTAGAATAACTCCTAAGGCAGCAGCGACGAAAATTTGACGATGTAATCAATGTTTATCACAAATCGTTCGTCGCTACCTCACCTTAATTTAGTTATATTCTAATTAAACAACCTACAGTAAACGGGATGATTCAAGATGTTTTCTTTACTCGGTAATGAGTGATGAACAGGCAAAAATTTCAATATTCACAACTTGATAATTTTTGCCAGCTCAAACATTTTAATTTTGGGATAGCAAAGGGGAAGAAGTTTTCACTTCAAACGACCGTATGAATAAGTAAAAGATTTATATTCACTCAACCGATAAAAAAATATCTTGAGTCTTGTCCTCTATGAACCTATTCTAGAAATCTAAAAATGAGATGGTATGGTATGCGGTAAATAAAGTATAAATAAGTATGTGACCTAAACAAATGAACTTGTAATTAAAATTTATTCTACAATAATAATTTATAATCGTCATAGACAGTCTCGTGGTGTCCCCTGGAGACCACAAAGTCGTTGATTATTTACACAGAGTCTCAGTCTCGTTTGTGCAGCTAAATTTTGTTCAACCAGCTGATGAGCCAATCGTGTATATTGCACGGTTTTAATCATTAATTTTTTTAAAAATTTGATAGATAAACTACCGAGATTAAAGGATGATTCTCTGTTTTTTATATCATAGATGCGATTGAAGAGAAAAAAGGTAAACAAATGAAACAAAATAGACGAAGAAACAATAGGTGTGGGTGGCTATTGAAGGTTGAACTACGAACAACATATGACGACTACACTAGTGAAAAAAATTGAATGAATCAGTTAAAAAAATACAAATCAATTCAACAGAATAAAACAAGAGAAGAAAAATTCAAAAACACAAAAAATTCAACAAACAGTTTGATTTCAACATTGAGAACACAAAACAGGAAGAAAAAACAGAATAACAGAAACAGAAGAGGGATAGCATGGAAGAGAAGGCTTGTAGTATTCTGGTAGGTTGGAGTGCGTTGAATGTAGTTTGATTCGAATAACCCAAGTGATTAAATTGAAGTTCAATAATCTATTTATTTACTTTTTGTTGGAGAAATATATAATTTATGATACGAGCTCTGAATTAATGAACAATTTTTGTTGGAATACAAATTTATAATCTCATATGTGGCGTGTAATTGATTGATTTTTTGCTTATATGTCAATTGGAAATGGAAACGCTGGGCCAAAAATCTGTATTCACTCCGTGAATGAAAATAATAATTACCAAATTTTAAAACTCGAAAAAAAATTTAAAATCATTTATGCGTGGAAATATAAAAAAAAAACTTCATGACTCAAGCTCAGTGAACAAACTTCAGTGCACACAACCTGAAGAGACTTTTTCTTCCCGCCACCGAATGCCCCGAGTTTTGCATTGGCTTACTGAGACCGGCCACTTGCATCTTAATAAAGAGCTATTTAAGAGTGCTTTCAAGTCATCAGATAGCAAACTTTCTGAATAGAAAGTTCGCTGGTGCATAAGCTCACCTTTAACTTTTAAAACAATGCTCTTATCTGTGAAGTTTCTTTTCACCAGATTCGAATTACAGAATAAGAAAGAACTCTCACTTGACTTGCTTTGTGACTAATAAGTCGATAAAAATATTTAAATTTTATTTTCTCGAAGACTGTAGGACCAAATTCGTGACTTCTATTATTTGGAGCCCTGTAGAATTTGTCGTTGATTCATAATTTATTACATGCCCAGGTAAGATTTAAATAATTTAACTTTTCAAGATGCAAGCTTGCTTGTCGAAAAATTCTCATTTTGTTCTCGTAAGCCATTGCCGAGGATACTTATCCAAAGACATAAGCACCTGGATAAATGGCCTGGGTGTCAAGTTTCAACTCAAAATTAAGATCTAATAAATAATTGCCACTAATCTGAACAAAAATACTGAACGTTGAAAGTAATTCTTGAGTCAAAACTCCCGCAATTTTTAGTGAATTAGAATATTATGTTTTATTTTAATTATTTTACACAGATCGCAATGGCCAAGATTTCTCCTGAAAATCTCAGGTACCTATAAATACGCTGAATACTTGTTGAAAATTTAATATTCAATTCTCACTAACTGACATCAAGTATTGCCATTATAACCAACAATTTAACTTCCGAACCTTCAAATTTCATAATCTACCCTTAGGAAAAAGTCTTGCAACAAACACTGAGAAATCGGAAGCCACTTTAAAACAAACGATGAAAACATTCAAGCATTATGTCGTATCCTTACGGAGTAAAAAATTTTAAACCCCGTTTCAGGGTTTTTTAACCTTACACCCAGGCCTTTACTCCATAATGATTAAGGCTTTGAAATAATGAAGAGCATCCGAGCGTGGGATAGTATAAATAACGGACGCACTCTGAGCCTCCATGGTGGGCGCCATGAGGCTGTTATGACGCTCAATCATCGCCTCGAGCTTCTTCTTTTCCTGAGCCTTCATCGCCTTGTCGCGCCCCGACAAGCCTTCCTCTCCCTCGGCCGAGTGCGCCGACAGCTTCTCGAGCATCATGTCGAGCCAGGACTTGGTGTTCTCCTTCTCCAGGTCACGGCACAGGGACTGGTGAGGGATAGATGAACATATTTTGACTGTGTTCAAGTTAATAATACTGGGACTGGCGAAGGATAGATGACATATATTTTGACTGTGTTCAAGTTAATAATACTGGGACTGGTGAAGGATAGATGACATATATTTTGAGTTAATAATAATGACAAATATTTTGACTGTGTTCAAGTTAATAATACTGGGACTGGTGAAGGATAGATGACAAATATTTTGACTGTGTTCAAGTTAATAATACTGGGACTGGTGAAGGATAGATGACAAATATTTTGACTGTGTTCAAGTTAATAATCTTGAAAAATTCTTACGATCTTATATAAAATTTAATGCGTAAAAATTTAATTAAATGGGTATATTCAAAAATAAATTAGAGTCAATCATATTTGTTTTCACCAGAATCGCAAACTAAATAACATGAAAACGTATTTACTGTAGCATATTTCGATCTAGAAATGTTATGAAAAAATCTTTGTGATGACCTCGCATTACAAGGCCAAAGCACATCATCCATCAACATGAGCGTTTTTCAGGTTAGTATTAAGGAAAAATGCTTACAAATTTAAATTAGGGAAGAACAAGAGTAAATTTTCATCAGAATGGCAAACCAAATAACATGACGTTGATTAACAGAAATGTATTCCGAACCAAACACTGGGGGCAAAATCACACTGAAGACCTAAGATTTATTCGCCAAACATCATCAATGGCAAACATTTTTTCGTAAATTCGGAGCCAATTTCGCGTTTCTTGACATTTGTAAATTAAATCTTTCAGTGTTAGCTCAGCACATTGGAATTGAATTTATTAATATTGGCTAGAACGCTTTGTTCAATGTCCGGCAGACGAGCGCGATAATTAATATGCAATTTGAATGTTCCGAAAGTAAAAATTAACCTAAAAATTGGTAATTGTTCCCGAGTGCTTAGCTTGAGCATCTGCATTCGTTCTTAACTCGTTTGCGTTGTTTTGTCGTGATTGGAGATTCAATTTTTCGGCAAAAAAATTCCGGCATATTGCCATGTGATCTTCCCGAGAAACATTCAATTAATTTTATTCATAACAAAATATTAGTTTGAAATGAACATAATCTTGCTCAAGTCTTTCATATTCATATTCACTTCAGGTTTTTTTTCCTCGTGTACTACTAAGTTCGCCGCTGGAAGTTCGTCCATTATACGATCATTACAAACAATAATTCATCTTAAAATAATTAGTTACACAACATCCAAGAAATGATTTACTTAGAAATTATTGAGTCGTTTCTGGTCTCCCCAAGCAAAAAATGCTTGTATAGCAGCCATAATAAAAAATCTAAATTAATTCTTGGTACCGATACTTTTATACTTTTTCTTCAAATGAAAGCATCGCAGCACGGATGTTTGAACAAAGCTTTGCTGAATAACCACAATTAGCGTTAATTAGAAGCATTTTCCGCTTGAAGAAGTTCTCTTTCAGTAATGAATTAAAATTGATCACCAAGAACACGAGGCAAGTTTCAACGTTAATCATTTTTCCTCGCAGTTCAGAAATTCAAACCATTACTCTAAAACTTTTTCTCACGTAAGACATTTTACTACATAAAATTTGAGAATTTTGCCGGAAACCACACGATTCTCACATCGATTTTTACCTCAAACATTGGCACATTTATGCATTAGTCGTTAGAAAAAGCATTTGCACACATCCTAGCTAGCCTCTTCATTGTCGAGCCTCTCAAATGCTAATGCCTGAATGTCTATGAGCGAGCCGTAGAGTAGCAGCGCAATTTTAGCGAGTGCTTCGGAACATCTGTGGTCCGAGAAATAGACAGTCCGTTGAAACGGACGGCCTCGAGCCTGCATCCGATATTGCAGTAGCGCTCAAATTCACGATAATAAATTCCAACATGAGGTCCTTTAAACAGAATTGGTCACGAGTTTCAAATTTCAGATTTAGGGTTGTCGCTTAAGTGGATCGAATGGCCGTTCTCTTGCATCGTTCCTTGCTCATGTTTCCTGTAATAAATTGAAGTTCGTTGTCATGCTGCCGGTAATTAAATGACAATAAATTATCTCCGTCGAACAAGTCTGTGATCGATGTTAAGTAAGATCGGATACAAAATCGTCTAAGTCGGATAAAATGCAATATAGAATCTTTATTAAAAGTGAATCAATTCATATAAGGAATTGCAACGGACCTCCTTCACAATGCCTGTCAAATTTGCAAATTTCGCAGCAATTTCTTTGTTATTCTCATCATACTTCTTGTCAAACTTTCAGAACTCTGTCTTAAGTAAGTTTTTAGGTAGGAGACACTAATGATCCTGATTTGATTTTGTCGATAAAGTTAAACTGATCTGATCAAAAATATTATTTCGTGTAAGTGAGGCTTTCTTGGCAAAGACGCACCTAACTAATTGTTGAAAATCACTCCTAATTTGGTTAATTTAATCACTATTTTAACTTCATTAATTGGTTAACTGAAACACCCTTTAAAATTCAATAATTGATTAATTGAATCACTCCTTTCATTCCATTAATTGGTTGATTGAATCACTCTTTTAGTTTCATTAATCGGTTAGTTGAAACACTTTTTAAGTTTCATTAATTGGGTAATTGAATCACTCATTTAGTTTCATTAATTGGTTAATTGCATTACTCACTCCTAAATTAAACCTTTCTATCAGTTTGACGGAGGCCGCACAGGTCGAATGAGCCCTGGATTCAGAAGTGCTTTACACGCAGCGACGTCTTAACGATGTGCAATCAACTTAAACACTTCAACTTATTTCCAACGCTTTTAAAATACTGCTGCGGTCAAGCCCTTTGTGACTAATTAACGACTACGGTTATAATATACGTGATTGTATTCCTTTAAATTATAACTTCATCACACTGCATCACATCGGATTTGCTTCCGTAAATTGAATGTCATATCTCATAGTGATTAAAATTTTTGAGTTTAGCTCAACCCTCCACTCAATAAGATTACAATTGTTTTCTTTTTTGCAGAATATTTTGCGCACAGTATTATCTCGTATCAGTGCAGTCATAAATTATTCCGTGCACAGCCATCATATTCGCATTAATGCATAGTTTGTCTAGAAATTCGTTCCACAGAACACACGATTTTCTTTACCTTTAGCCTTGCGTTTATCAGACGCGTTTATAAACAACTAATCGAGAACAAAACTGCTCGACCGCACTTTCAGTAAAAAAATATATGATATCTTTACTAATGAGAACTTCAATAGGAGCGCGCGCTTCACCACTTTGCCCTTCACTACTTGGAAATAATTTGAAGAATGTATTGACTGAGTGAAGGAATAAAAAGCTTCGAGCTTCAGGTCAATTAAAGCGCTAAATGACTCGATTTTTCTCATTAATTGCCCACGTGCAATGTAAGTGGATCGATGTTTTATACAAATTAGCACGCAGTTCTCTGAATGCAGTATAATTAGAGTGAGCTGAGTGACTTTAATTTTTAGACATGATGGTGGTTTGATTTTAAATTTGTGAATTTGCAATAGAAATGTATTTCTAATAATACTTACCCCGTTTTCATTCCGGCTTCCTGTTTGTTTCTGTGATTATTTAAATGATTTCTATGTAATATTTTTTCTGTATCTAGAACAGCTGTCACTCGGCAATCACAATTCAATTAAATATCTTTTTAGATACATTGCTAAACAAAAAATAACTATAGTTTTGAAGTAAATAAATTTATTAACAATTTAACTAATAAGCAGTTGCAACACCCGTAAAACTCCATTCCTCGCAGAAGAAATCCAGCAAAATGGAATAACGGAATTGTTCCTGTGACATGTCGATAATAAATAAATTTCAATTCAATTCCATTTAGACGTACATATTCCGACTTTAATCCTTCTTATTACAAAACCACACCATTTCTAGCGTCCCCAAGCAGTCGATTCGAGGCACTCCTAGAATTTACGACCACTTAAGATTATGGATAAGAGGATTTCGAGTTCAGGCAAATCCAAATTCTCTTTGGAAATTCAGAGCATCGGCTCCCTACTTTGTCGTAAGGTAAGTGTTCTCGAAAACAATGAAATTCAAAAGGAAATTTTTGGCACGTGCCTAGTTCTTATATTGAAAATACAAGTTAACACAGCATTCGCATGTCTAATGTATAATTGCGAAACTATAATAATGTGTTTGTCGTGTATTTTATGCCTCTTAATTGGTTTTGTAGCATATTTTTCGCAACTATGATGTTCATTATTTGGCTTATAAATGTTGTTCATTATTTAAAGAGCGAACATTATCGGGAGTTTCCTTATGATCCTCACATATTTGAAGAATTTTCTTCCTCTTAAGCATAGAACCTGCATCATCTTCTACACTCTTATCTAAAAACCGCAGATCTAAAAATTCAAAAATATAAAAACGCGCCGTGAAAAGAAAGAGAACTTATTTATGGCAAGCTTGACATTTTACTTGTTAAGCCAATTAAAGTCAGGGCAATTTTATGTTTTGAACAGCTAGAAGGTTTAAAATTTCTAGACCAGCTTATTGCAGAGGCGGCTGACGTTCATAAAAAATCTTTTGCAACCAACAAGTACAATAAAAAATCATTTTGAAATGCTCTTTATTGCAAGTGAATTCTGGTGATCATAAAATGCTGCTTTCTCCATTGGCTCATTTACACATACCTTTTGACACCTAACACAGTCCTTTCTTTATTAAATAATTTAAACTTCAAGCCAATAATACAAAGAATTTCCTTATTTTCGTGCAGCCTCACAAAGCTACCCTCTGTGTCGGAAATTACCCCAAGCTACTGTGAAGACGGTGGCTACACTCAGAAAAAATAACGGGTCATTGCCTCCAAACAACATACTTTTATAACCCACAGCACTAGCAGGGAGCAAACGTAGCACTGATACAACCTTTTGGCGGGCCAAACTGGGTCAGGATGACCCTCAGGAACGAAAAATGCGTCGTTATTTGGACAAAGTCTGACTCACTTCTCTGAGTGTGGGCACGTATGTA